CTCGACTGTCGAGATCTCCCCGTAACCTACTGTCGAAATCTCCCCGAGTTACACATTTCTATGAAAGATGGCAGCACTTCCCCTTTGACTAGCTATGAAAACCTTTTGCGTAGACATCTATGTTCCTGAATGCCTGATCTCACTAGCCACTCATTTGGAACTTGTCAAAAATCAAAGCCGTCATCCCCATTTATCATCGCTACCAAAGCCAATCTTATACTTTATGCTTTGCAAACTATGAAAAACTCACCTGACTGATTATTAATATTTATTTTCTTGATCAATCTCTGACTTTACAACACTTTCGATTCACAATGACGCACTACACTCTTAGGTTATTCCAATACAGTGGTTTCCATACGCGACACCAGGGTGCAGACCACTCTACTAAGAAAATTAAAAGTATCGAGATGTCCCTGAACGACTAGATATTATTTTATTCTTCAAGTTATCAATACATTCTTGTTTATCTTTACACTTAGAGCATTCAGGGATATTTACATTGTCTTTTAAGTTTTATTTCAAAGTCATTCACGTTTGATTTATTATTGTCATCATCAGTTTCGTCTCCCGTTCGCGTAGTCTTTCAAAAGTACTCTGCATTAGTTTTCTTTTCTCTCACCTCCGATTTCTTGTAAAAGAAGACAAGAACCTAAGTATCTGTGGCTCTCATTCAATTTAGGTTTGTGGAAAAAAGAGCCCCAAATTTGCGCTGCTTGCACTGAGAGCGGATACCTTAGCCATCTTGTGGTGTCTTCTCAACTAATCCTCGTCCAAGTGGCACAACTGAACCGAAATTACTAAACTTTACTGTTAAAACTCTAAAAATATAAATTCGGAGATTAAGAAGTAAGCTTTACCCAATGGGCTATATGGATAACATTAACTGAATGATAATACTAAACGACGAGCAAAAAAATGCCTTTCAAAATAGCAATGAAGTCAAACTAATTTTATATAAACACAACCAGAAACACATAAATGGGTACCTTCGCAGAATTTTAATTACGGCCAGCCTTCGTCGGGAAATGCCTAAAGGAAATACCAAACATTAAATTTAAAAAACTGCACAAAATTTTACTCAGCAGAGCAAATTTATGGAAAAAAAAAAAAAAAAAAAAAAAAAACACAAATTTTAATGAAAATTTGTTATATATTTAAAAACAGTACAATGAAATAAGCAATATCCCTTAATACAAATATCAATTATCCTAACAAATAAATTAACCAACGTCCCGTTGCCTCATCTCAACAGACGTCCAGTATCCAAGAGAAACATTCAGTTTAAAAACTGCGCTGAATTATCGCTCTCATTTTTTCCAGTGGCAACAGCGCTGATTTTCAACAGTCCGCAGTGTACAATTGAATGAAAAAATGTTGCCAAAACCCCATTTCTAAAAGAATGAAACTATTCAAAATGATGCGATTTCATCAAAAAAGATAAAATAAAAAACTCTGATTCGAATTTTGAAAAAATCGCTTCGCGGTGCGCATATTTCACAAGTGCACATCTGTGTAGCCACCGAGAGAGTGGCTTCTAGGATGGACCAATGAGCATCCAGTAATATTTCTGTCATGTCACATGACCTTTCGCGTGCTTTGAGATTTAAGCAAGATGGTTGAAAATAATCTGCCACGCAATTTTCTGTAAAAAATAATCAAAGGATCGTCGATTGCTTCTGAAATTTTTCATTGCGAAGTTAGATCAAATATAGGCAATTATGAAGATTTCACTGCCTAGTTGAAATGAATACAAACATGTGTTGGATACTTCGCAAAAATATCGATGTGAAATATTACTTAATAAGTGGTAAATAAGATAAAGAAAGAAATATGTGATAAACGTCTGAGCCCAAATGCAATCTTTACATAAAACTATACGTATGAGAAAAATATTTTCACCAGTCATATATGTAAATAGAAGTCAGCACTTTTTATTGCAGTCTATACGAAAAACGATCACTTCTATATGTAATAGTCTACACAATGCAGAATTTTTAACCAAATAGAGTGAAATTTACTAATTTGCATTCGTATACATTTAGTGTGTTAAATTTCACATTTAATAACTGCTCACTCTTAAGTGAACTGTCTATACAAGAAATACTCGTCAAGCAGAATGAATTTATCGTATTCACAACGAGTATATTCAATTTATTCACATATAACTTTTAATTTTAAAAATGGATATAATCAGATCATATGTGTTCTGAATCTTACACTTTAAAAATCAAAAGAATGCACTGATATAAGAAAACACTAGATTAATTGTAACACTTTCAGTCATTCTCATCTGAATTAAAAAAATATACACTTGAATTCTCTTAATCCACATAATATGCTGTTATCATCAGTCAAAATATTAATGCGTGATAAAAATCTCGAAAGTGAAATGTCAGCGATTAATTAAACTCAGAAAACGAAAGCACTACAAGATCTCTACTATTACGCCATATATTTATAACTGCCAAACAAATGCAAATTAAAACGTAAACAACATACTCTCACATGCACGAAGATTTAGCGTCACAAGAGCAATAGCAGCTCATTGGTCCATTTCCGAAACCCCTCCCTCAGTGGCTGCGCAGATGTGCACTTGTGAAATATGCTCGCGGTGCACTGGCTCTTGTCTAGATGCACCTATGTAACCAATTTCGTAGCCCTGGGTCTATTAGCTTACGCGCAGCACCAACAAAAGACACACACACAGACAGACACACAGACAGACACACAGACTCTTTTTTTATATGTGGAGATAACATCTTTTCCATTAAAGTCCATTAGAAATAAAAATTTTATAGATTACAATTCAAAATTTTTTTTCGAAAAATATGTAAAAATGATTTAAAAATACAAATTTTAAATATAAATCATCAAAAATGGCGAATTTTATAGGGAATGAACCTAAATTTTGAAATGTGAAAGGAAGAATCAAATAAGTTTAATTTAAAAAAAAAAAAAAAAAAAAAAAAAAAAGAGATATTAGTTAACATAGACCAAACTCAGAAAAAGTTCGATTTTGTGTCAAAATACCTATGCTAGAACAATGCTATGTATAAATCTAATATATATCCTAAGTCGCGCTTTGAAAGCCTGAAAAACGCAATTTGAATTTCGTTAATCGGTTCACTGTCTCCCTTTTTTTTTTTTTTTTTTCGCTGTGTATAGTATATTCTGAGCACTATATCTGGCACACACATTTATTATCTGACCATGTATTTAAGTCAACTGCAGAGTGACATAAAATAAATTTACGTATATAAAGACCCTTATACGCAGAATTCATGCGTAATGGCAGACCGCACATTGAGTTGAACAGTGTTAAGCGAATTTCGCTTACTGCGCATGCTAGATGGTGTACTTTTGGCGCGGGAAGAAATATTGGCGAATAAGCAACCCTACGCTAGCTTATTCGTGATCTCCATGGCTGTCGAGTGTGTTCGAGTGATGTTTACAACTGCAATGTTGTGGAGCTTTGCTTGTTAGTTATTTTAATTGCACTTGCTTATTTTTCTAATATATGTTTCATTTTAATTTTTCAATAACAGTGCATTTAATATTCGTTAACATATGTTCGTAATAATTCGTCATTTAGATGTAATTTGTTTACATGTTATAATTCAGTAATTGTAAACTGGAGTTTCTCGGTTAGTTTGTTAGCTTATATTCGCGCTTTTATTTTCTCATTTGAAAGCATTTAATAACTAGCATTAAGGAATTGTAAAATTTCTTCAGTGTTATTTCCAAGCACTTTATTATATTCCTCAGTGTTTCTTTATGTATGTACGAATGAAACTTATGGTAAATCCTGAATTGTTTTTACTGCTTAAAAGTATAATGAATAAATTTTCAACTAATATATCCTAAATTTCAGTCAACACTGCTTCACATTACTTCGCAATAATTTCAGCTTTCTTGTTGTTTGAGCAGTACAGCAAAAAATAGTATTTTAACACAGTAATTAATTTAACACGAAGATTTAAACGCCAGATTTGTTTACAATCAGATGGCGGTCATCTACCATATACCGTATTTATCTTCTTTTCAAATCGCGCCAACATAGTAATTACGCCAAATTGTTTTCTAGGCATGCGTGGTATGCGACATTCGTTTAACACTGTTCAACTCAATGTGCGGTCTGCCATTACGCAGAATTCATGTTTATGAATACGCCATAGATCAGGGCTTCTCAGCCGGTACTACGCGTACCACTAGTGGTACGCAAGAGAAAACTAGGTGGTACGCAAAGAAAAAGTATTGTTAACTATTAAATTCAAAAATCTCGTGAAGGAAAAAATAAATTGATAGAAATTTCCTGTGATCGAACTCGAACTGAAGATTTCAAAAATAATACACTTGTTAACTTTTGTCTGAACCGAAAAATAATTTTAAAGGCATTTCAAATAAAGCTATTAAATTTTTATTCCCTTTTTCCACAACCTATTTGTGTGAACAAGGATTTTCTCCTATGTTATATTTAAAAATTAAATACAGAACAAAATTAAAAATGGATCCTAATTTACGGTTAAAACTAAATGAAATAAGACCAGACGCAAAGAAATATGATTCTCTTAAACAGGCTCAAATTTCGCACTAAATTTTAAAATTAAAGTATTATAACTTACATTTTGATAATAAAAATGGTAACCCATTTTTAATGTAAAATATTTTTTATTGATGCGAATTCGAATTTATTGATTCGAAGAACCATGATATTTAATACATGGTTAGTACGAATTACCAATAGGTTGTGTAAATGGCAAATTATATTTATTTTTAATATTTCTATTGAGAAATTGAAAAATAATATCGTTTTTCAGTTTTTCAGTTGAATCATAAGTTTTTCAGTTTTTATTTAGATGGTACGTGTTATTCGAAAGGGTGAGAACCGTTTCGATTCTGTTGACAGATTTTACGCTTACGAATTTTTGTAATTATCAGTTGCTTATTATGTCAACCTAATAATTTGAATAAGGAGTTGGTATTTCTTTTCTCTTCAGGTGAATATTGGACAGAGAGACCTCAGTTCCATGATCGCTATCTACCAAGATAATTATTCCCAGCTCCAATTCTTGGACAACCATAAAACAGGTATTTTTATAGTCTCCAGCAGTAAATCGTTCTTTATTGCGAATAATACATTTTATGAAAAGACTAATAACCTGTGTTAATACTGTATCCATATAAAATGCCCAATTATTATGCTTTTGACAGAAAAACGTATGAAATTGTAATTAAATTTGAAATCGCATGAGAATTCCGATTTCTCATATCTCATTCATACACTTAAAATTCCGCAATTATGTATGGAATACCGATTAAGGTTTGGAATTCTGAGGAAAGGCAGATTCATTTCTCTTTACGAAGTTCAACTACAATTTTACATCCTGAATAATAAATGCGGAGAGTATCCTTGATACAAATACACAAGTAATTGTAAATATATCTAAGCATTTATTTATTTCTCCTGTGTAACTGTGTAAAATTGTAAATTATTTTTTTGGTTGATCTTTACATTACGGTAACTTGGCGATTTTTTGGCGACCAACTCCCCTACAGCAACCCTCTATTTTTTTTTTCCCCGCCGCCATTTTGTCTTCACGAAGTAAAGACATGTTTCTTTTCTTCTTATCTACTGAACACTTCTTCCAACAATCTACTAGCCGAATTACACTTATGCTAGAAATTTTATCAAACAAAACTGCTTAATCATTACAAATATTCACTGCAAAATTCGGAAAAAGTGCACAATACCATACACCTTACGCATTTTTCAAAATAAACACATACACATAAACCATGTAGACGCCGACTTATTTTTACTTAAAAAAAAAACATCCCAGAATTGCACAAAAAAATGGCATTGCGCACACTCTTCACTATATCCATGTACACTGCTTTTTTCTCATAAATTCGAAAAATTTCACGAAAATACATGACAATTTTCTCAATCTTTAAACCCGGTAAAAAGAACATATATGAAATTACCTGATCGCGAAAAAGTATTTACCCTTTACAAAATATGAACATTTCCACATATAAAATAAATAAAAATATCCAAAAACTTTTACCTCTAAATCATCTATTACATTATACACGTCACCAACGAATTCATACATGAAGCATTACAAATATTTAGTATCAAATATTTAAATTATTTCCATGCACGTTTATTTCAACTTAAACGTAAACCAAATTCCTACAAGCATAAAAATTCACAAAATAACTATCATTTCAAAATATCACTGAACCATGTACACGTCGACTTATTTTTACTTAAAAAAAACATCCCAGAAATGCACAAAAATGGCATTGCGCACACTCTTCACTATCCATGTACACTGCTTTTATCTCATAAATTAAAAAAATTTCACGAAAATACATGACAATTTTCTCAATCTTTAAACCCGGTAAAAAGAACAATATATGAAATTACATGATCGCGAAAAAGTATTTACCCTTTACCAAATATGAACATTTCCACATATAAAAATAAATAAATTATCCAAAAACTTTTACCTCTAAATCATCTATTACATTATACACGTCACCAACGAATTCATACATGAAGCATTACAAATATTTATATTTCAAATATTTAAATTATTTCCATGCACATTTATTTCAACTTAAACGTACACCAAATTCCTACAAGTATAAAATTCACAAAATAACTATCATTTCAATTAAAATATAATTAAATTCAAAAAAACACCACTTAAAATATACATGAGCAACAACATTCAAATTAAAAAAAATTACTTACAATCCTAAATACTTTAAACTAAATCATTGCTAATAACAATTTTCCCAATAATACCAAATTCCTTTCCACCTTACATTTCCAACAATGCATAAAAATAATTAAAAATACTAACTACCTAATCTCCTTCAGAATCTTCATTACGTGGCGGATACACTTTTCTCATTCTTCTTTCAGAATCTTTAAAATCATACTTATCTTTCAAAGCAAGATACCAGGTAAAATAAATAAACATAATAAAAACATGTTTATTTCTCTCTCACACAACCTTAAAAAACATTTCTTACTCCTTTTCATACCACTAAATACCCATTTCGAATTCACTTTATTACGGCCATGGGATCCAAAAATTCACAAACACTATTTCACAACAACGAATAAAGCCAAATACAAAATTCCAGATTTTTTCCCGATTTCCCCCCTTTTCCGATTAAAGAACCGTAATTCGTCCATTAATATCACATGACATATCCCATGATCTCTCATTTCCCCCACACAAATTAATGCGTAATCGGAAACTCAGTAACTGCTCACATTATTCCAAAGTCCCAGGTAGTAACCTTTATCGCCTCCAAAATGTCGCCAAACTACCAGTTACCGTAATGTAAAGATCAACCATTTTTTTTTTCGATTTCATTAATTATTGTTTTTTTTTTTTTTTTTTTTTTTTTTTTTTTTGTAAACAAAAGCTTACTGTACTGTATTGTACTGCGTACAATTTTTGTCTAAATTTATTTCCTGATTTTTAGCACAAACGAGCTCAGAAGGGCTGCTACTTTCGTTGTGGCATTTTGCGTCGATTCACTATAAACTGCGAATCACTTTTGAAATTGTTGCCACTAAATATTATCGCCCTGCATTATATTTAAAGAAATTAAATAATGAAAAAATCTGGCTAATGGTATGTATGCTTCTCGCATCGTGATAAAAGGACGGTAACTATAGCTATCCAATTTTGAAAAACGTATGTCTCCACCCGAATACGGGCATCTAGAAGCCCGAATTTGGAATTTGTTTTATTATCGATTTCATATTTTGTAAAACATTAATGAATTTTTGATTAACAAACTCAACGATTTCAAAGCGAGCAATCGCAACACTGTACAGGAGAAAAAGCATTTTTATCTCCAGCGCGCGAGACTGTGTATCAGAAATTCTAATGATATGCTCATTTTAAAATTATTTCGAGATATTGCCGTTGAACTGAATTTTATTGTTTAATTCGAAGACCATGATATTTAATAAATAAAGGTAACCCACAAAACGTTAAATAAACACCTTCTTGGGCGTAATGTAAATGCTTTTTTTATTATTTATTTCGTATATATCAAAATTAGTTAAATTCCACAATCATTTTTAAAACGATTATAATATTCGGACTAAAATATAAATTAAAACTGGAATATATTTGTTTTATATTCATCAACCAAGACCCTCTGAAACATCGAGCTACTTTATGTACAAAACCTTCGATCAAAATAAACTTAAGACTTCAAAACTTTATATCTTAGGAACTTTTGATCTATGGAACGTTATTCAACTACAAAACTTTCACTGTATCTTGAACTATTGAAATTCATTAAAATCAAATTGAAATGTATATCAGAATTTAGCTCAACGTAGCATGTAAATGCAAAGAAGACTCTTAATAACTTTCACTGTCATGTAAAAATATTCATTGTAAAAAGGAACTTTTCAATAAATAATTTCCACTGAGTGGGAGTTTTCCGTTAGGTATCACCTTAGGTCGGAAGCCCTTTCAGTATTGCAAAGTATGTGTACAAATCGGGAGTTCGGTAGCCTAAGGAAATACCTTAAAAATTCCACACACAGTGAAGCACCGTGAGCGACCTAAATTAAAAGTTACAATAAAAGACGTTGAATGCTAAAACTGTTAAAATTAATTTAGAAGTCAAACAAAACAAAAAAAAAAAAAAAAAAAAAAGTAAAATAAATAAATAAATAAAAGACAAAAATCTGAAAGATTTCAGATTTTAAATTTCGTCGAAAGGGGCGTATTTTTAACGTTTTGTGTGTTACTTTATTATTAAATATCATGTTCTACGTACTCAAACTATCAAATTCAGTTCAACAGCAATATCGCAAATTAATTTTAAAATGAGCATATCTTTAGAATTTCCGATACACAGTCTCGCGCGCTAGAGAGAGAGAGAGAGAGAAAAAAAAAAAAAAAAAAAAAAAAAGAGTTGCCATGGCTCGATTTGAAATTGTTTAGTTTTTTAATCAAAAATTCGTTGAAGTGTTACAAAATATGAAATCGATATTAAAACAAATTTCAAATTTGTCTTTTAGATGCCCATATTCGCAGTAGGATGACTTCATTTGAAATGTAATGGCTGTAGGTACCGTTGTTTCATCACAACGCAAGAAGCATACTTACACTTATGCAGATTCTTCATTATTTAATTTCTTTAAATATAAGACAGGGCCATAATGTATGGTGGCAATGATTTGAAAAGTGATACAGCCTTTTAAAATTGTCGATGCAAAATGCAAAATGAAATTAATAATCCTTTAAGGTAAATTGCCTCTTTGCTATATAAAAATCAGTGTTATATTTGCAAAATTTTCAAAGGACTAGTTTTGATGGTTTTACCGAACCGTCGTAAGCCTTTAAGGAAATTGTGTTTTAGTTTTCGTTTTTCATCAATAGATGGCGTCAGTAGCTTAAGTCCTGTCCAGCCATTCTTATCTTATGACTCTATTTTATCTCGTTCATTTGAACTTTGGCAGCTGAGGATGGTGGTTCGGTAAAACCATTGAAACTAGTTCTGTGAAAATTTGCAAAATAACGCTGATTAATGAAATTAACGCTGATGGATAGGAATTAGGGTCGTTAACTAGAACAGGAAGTGTTTTTTTGAAAGTGAAATGCTGTATAAGCTATAAAATTGTACGTATTTTACAGAAATTTAATTTTCGGGTCGTTTATTAGCCTATCAATAAAATTCCGAGCTGCATACTCAAGGACCCCATTCCGGATAGGAATTCATGCAGTATTTACAGGATTCCTTGCTAGTGTGGTTTAATTTACATTGGTCAACCTAAGAGAACCTTAAAATTTCACCCTAAAGAACATGTGTTAGAAAAAAGGAAACACAGAAGTTACCTGTTGCCCAGCACTGTTGGTCCGTAAATCGTACTTTTCATTTTTCTGCAGCCAAAATTTTTCAAAAAACATCTTCCATTGGTGAATTAGATTTTCTTGAGGTGTTTCATATTCAAAAGAATCTCTCTGTTCTAGTTAACGACCCTAATTCCTATCCATTTTTGCCTTCAGCCTTTAAGGAAATTATGTTTTAGTTTTCGTTTTTCAGCGATAGATGGCGCCAGTACCTTAACCCCTGTCGGCCCTAAAACCTAAGGGCGGTGGTTCGGTAAAACCATCGAAGCTAGTTCTGTGAAAATTTGCAAATATAACGCTGATATCTGTTGTTTGACTTTTAAATTAATGCGTGTTCGGCGTGTTATTTTACCTTAATTGTTAAACTTGCTAAACTTATTTATTTGTTTGCACAGATGTCTCACCGGATACAGAGAGTGGGCCAGAAGAGTCCGTTCGTAAATTAGAAGTTTTTCTCTTTGCATCTACAGACGTACGCAGGGAAAGCTCTTTTGCTTTCATCATGGAAGGGCTAACGCTGACGCTTTACACCGATGCTGAAGATCTGGTACGTTACGTTATGTTTCTAAACTCAAATATTATATCAGGCGCCGCTTAAGACGATTCTGTTTATTCGGGACGATTTTGATAACATTCTGGTTAATGATGACATTAAAGACAGGAAAAAAAAAAAAAAAAATATCCTTCAAATTAACGATGGAATTTAACCATCTGAACATAAGTATAGCCAGAAAAATATAAATACAATAGAACTCCAGTTATCTGAATCAATTAGGACCGGACTCCTTTCGAATAATCAAGAATTCGGATAATTGGATTTTTTCCGAAGAAAGGATCTACGTACACTTTAATTAATTAATGTATATACTGTGTTCAGTTTTTAAAATGTTTATGCCTTATTTTATCTTTTTCTATAGATGGCGCTGCCGTCGCGCCAGATGTTTAATTCGTAATGTATTTTTTAATTTTGCCGTGTGTTTGTGGCAACAGATTAAATAAAACCAAACGACTAGTATTCGATGCTAAGAAAGAATGAACTCGTGCAAACAATTCTAACAGCTGATAAAGTTAAAATCTTATTTAATTCTTTAAGTTTCTTTACTGTGTGTCAAATTCAAGTATCTCCAGGTAACTGTAAGTCGATGAAAATTCAGTGTAAGCTATTTAATAATTATTAATTATTGAACTTACCCAAGAAACATACTGTATGTTGAAAATTTGAGAAAAAGCTTGTAGGGATCTAAATTAATTTCAACTAACAAGTTAAATTTAATTTTTAAACTTTCCTATAAGCTTTCATTCCCCTAATTGTCAGTGCCATGTGAATAAATTGAATATATTCGTTGTGAATAAGATACATTTATTCTGTTTGAGGAGTATTTCTTGTGTAGACAGTATATTTAAGAGTGAAAAGTTATTAAATGTGAAATATAACACACTAAATGTGTACGAATGCAAATTAGTAAAGTTAGTGAATAAAATTCTGCATTGGGTATTATAGAATATTTTTTTCATGTAGACTTCAAAAAAAGGATGCTGACTTCTATTTACATATATAATTGGTGTAAGTATTTTTCTCATAAGATAGCATTTGGGCTCAGATGTTTATCACATATTTCTTTCTTCATCTTATTAAGTAATATTTCGCATGGATATTTTTGCGGAGTATCCAACATGTGTTTGTATTTATTTCAAATTCTTTCAACCAGGTAGTGAAATCTTCACAATTGCCTATATTTGATCTAACTTTGCAATGAAAATTTTCAGAAGAAATCGACGATGCTTTAATTATTTTGTACAGAAAATTCCATAGCAGAATATTTCCAGCAATCTTGCTTGAATCTTAAAACAGGCGAAAGGTCATGTGACATGTGAGAAATATTACTGGATGCCCATTGGTCCGTCCTAAAAGCCACTCCCTAGGTGGCTACACAGATGTACACTTGTGAAATATGCTCTCGGTCAGTCAGCTGTTTGACTGTTTTCATCCATTTTCGGGCAGCCAAGTCGCGCGTCCGCTCGACAATGAGAAGTTGCGTATGGTCACACTCGGGCTGACGCTCCATCCATTTCGACGCAGTTTCAAAGCTGGCAAACGCTTCACTAGCTGATGGTCCCGTGTCTATTTTAACTTCGACATTAAGATCATCTTCTGTGACACTTTTCACTAAGTTCATCATAATTTAGAGTTTGAAACCCAGGGTCTGACGAATCACACACCATCCATTCTGCTGTCTCCTTAGCACTAACTTCTCAACATCCAGGAATTTTCAAAAAGAATGTTTCTTAATTCCTCAAGTGGCACGTCATCTTCATCTTCTCCTGTCTCTTCTCTTTCCTTTTTTGGACCTTGTTTTCCCTTTCTTTCCTTTTACTTTTCTTCTTCAGTTAATTCTGAAAAATTCTGAAAGCGATTCGGATATTCAGCGGTCCGGATAGTCGCATTTCGGACAATTGGAAATTGTACTGTAGTTGCTTTCAAAAGTTTTTTAATTAGAAAAGGATAAAAAATTTCTTTTAACCCTTTCAGTCCCAATTTGTTTGTTGCAGATCAGAAATATTTTCTGCAACATCCATCAGTTCTTTACCGGGAAACGATTTATTACTAAAACAAAAACTTACGTATTACTTCTAGTAATACCACTGGGGGGAAATATATTACTAATATCACTGAACGATATTAGTAATATATCGGTAAACTAAACCACTTATCCCATTGGGACGTATATGACTTTGAACAAATTTTATAAAAAACTAGCAGCTTCGCTGCCAGTGTTCGTCTGGCTTTTAAATGTACCGGAAAAATGCTTAAAGGGAACACCAAACGTTAAATTTAAAAACTGCGTAGAATTTTACTCTGCAGAACAACGTCATAAAAAAAAGTTACTACGTATAACAAAATTACAATGAAATAAGCAATATCCCTTAATACGAATATTAATTATCCTAATAAAAAAATTAAAAAAAAACATGCAAAACTTTTCAATATCTTACAAAATAGTGAAAAAAGCGAAATAATAGAAGCAACTCAAAAACATAAAATAATTCTGTCAGAAATTTACTCGCTGCAGACAACTTTATAAAAAAAAAAAATGAATAAAATATATTATATAATAAAAAAATGACAATGAAGTATGCCAACTCTTAAAAACAGTGACATAAAATATACGATGAAAAATTGTTGCCAAACCCATATTTCTGAAAGAATGAAACTATTCAAAAAGAGCGATTTCGTCAAAAATCTAATAACAACAATAAAAGGAAAATGGTTGCCAAAATCACATTTTTAAAGATGTGAGAAGTGGACTCGGAAGCTTCATTTAAATTTTTTTAAAGTACAAAATATTATCATTTTCCGAAAATTCTTTTTGTGAAAGCAATCGCAAGGATGAAAGTTTAAAGTGTCCAAAAATCAAAGAAAAATACTGTACCTTTTTTTTACATTTTTAAAAATAAACTTTCTTAGAAAAAAATCCCGTTGAAAAGGCGTTAAGCTCACTTTGTTAAATAAATTCGTGTTTAATTGATTTATTGAAACACGAAATTTATTTTATTTTAAGTTCATAAAATAGCTAAGAGCCTACGTTTCATGACGATGTGAAAATGGAGTGTGTAAGTAAAATAAAATCTCGCTTTTTTATAGCCCATTATGTTTCAAAATGACGCGATTTCGTCAAAAAGCATAAAATTAAAAAAAAAAAAAAAAAAAAAATTTGAATTCGAATGTGCTTCGAGGTGCACTGGCTCTTGTCTAGATGCACCTATGTACCAAATTTCGTAGCCGTGGGTCTATTAGCTTTCGCGCAGCGCGAACGAAAGAGACACACACAGACAGACTCTTTTTTTTTATTATATTGTTGCGTTTTCCTAATTCTTCTGACACCAGTTAAGAACTTTGTTTCCTAAAAAAAAGTAAAGTCGTTACGTAATATTCTTCCATCACGTTCGTACGGGGTTTGTATGGATTTGGAGTGAATAATGACGACACTACTTGATGAAGTATCGAAACACACTTTATTAGCCAGTATTGTCAAGACAGCTCCAAAACACATTTTTAAAGTCATAGATGAACTACTATAAATACGCTCACACGAACAGCGACACAGCCTTCAGGTTATCAGGCTATCACGGTGGAGACAGCTTCCTGAAAAGCACTAGAGTACAACTTCCGACTCTGCTCGGTCGTTCTCGGAACTCCACGGGCTCTCCAGACTCTCCACGCTACAACTCGCGATGCACTCGACGACACACGAGCACAGCTCCCGACTCTTTGGTTCAGTCGTACTCGGAGCTTAACACGCTCTCTCGACGATGCACTAACCGCGATACACTAACAGACTCCTTCGGTGCACTCGACAACCCACTCGGCACTCGCTGCCCGGCAGGCACCTCGATCGACCCCGCAGGGATTGACTCGCTAGACGAGACACCAACTCGTAACTGACTATCTTGCACTCCAGACGAGGCAGTCTGACTCGCCCCTTTCCACGAGGCACACACTGAGACACTGCGGACCAGCAGGGTGTATACAGTTTTTGGCTTGTGTTCGAGAACATTCTGGGCTAAACCGGTAAGAATTCGTTCCAGAAGGTTCTCCATCCGTCCATGGCATATCGCCAATTTTGTCGCCAAGTGTGGCAACCCTGCCTTCCCTTGCTTTTTTTTATGGCAACCCTAAAAGTGCTTTGCAGGGAAGCCATCTCACGTCGCCTGTACATTTCGTAACAATATCTAGTGAAGAGATATCCAATATACGTCATCATTACATGAATGAAAGATATTCTATAATTACTAATCGAATGTCAACAAACTTTTTTTACACGCACTTTATGCAAAACCAGAAACTAAACAAACCTAAGCACATGCTCACATAATAATAAACACATTCACTAAGCCTCTAGAAGAAGATTTGCACGACAATTTTAGAAATGATGCCTACTTACCAGTGGGACATGGCTATGTAGTAAATTGATGGTGTAATTCCCTCTAGGCTTCCTTAAACATCTACCGGGACTTATATATAACCCATTGGGACTGAAAGGGTTAATATAAAAGTTAATTTATGAACGACTAGCTTTTACCTGCGGCTTCCCTCGCATTGATGTCCTTAAATAAGTTTCATCTCCGCGAGAATTTTAAAAATATACTCCGCGTAAAATTTCAGTAAATACTGGCCTTCTTCAATGCCTATAGGCCGCGGATATTTTGTATTTACGCGGAGTGTATGGCCACGAAATATAGTAAAACTGCTATGTATATTTCCTAATGACTGAAAAATGTTTGTGAAAGAAGAGCCAAAAGATGTAAATCCTGAAGGATTTTAAATAATAAATTGAAGCAAAAATTTATAAACGCTTAATTAATAAATGTTACCCTTTCACATCTTAATTACGTAACCGATCATCATGAAATTTTCAAGAAATATTTTTGTTATAATAGAAAAGGGTTATAGGCTATAAAATGGTTGCGTGGTTTAAGCCACGCACCTGCGCGCGCAAACAAATTTTTGCATCGTTTAAGTTGTCGTTATGAAACTTTCAGCATTTAATTTTTATACAACGACAATCGTTTTTAAGCTATAAAACCTATTATGTAGTTCAAGTTTCAACACATAAGTTACATTTTATAGCTTATCACCTTTTCTAACATATCAAAAATATTTCTTGAAAATTTCATGATGATCGGTTAAGTAATTAAGGCGTGAAAGTGTAACAAACAAACACACGAACAAACTCACAATCGCATTTATAATATTACTTAGGATAACCTTTTCTAATGTATTAAAAATAGTTCTTGAAAATTTCATAATGATCGGTTAAGTAATGAAGGTGAAAGCGTAACAAACAAACAAACTCACATTCGCATTTATAATATTAGGATTTATAAAAGTGTCTGGAAATTATTTGCCCAATGCTAAATGCCTAATCTTAATACTAGGAGGCATACCTCTTTCAAAGGGAGCATGCGAATGTAAAATTTAAAATTACGCAAAAAGATGTTAAATTTAAATGTTCTCTTGTGTTCTCAAGGAAAATGAGGAAAGTATTTTGAAAAATTTTTTTTGCCCCTGAAGAAGAAGGAACCATCCCTGACCGCCTCTCAAAATGGATAGAGTTATTAAAATTCTTCGCCAAGCTAAGTTTTTTTTTTTTTTTTTCAACCCTTAATTTTAAATGGTTCATTAAAATCAAAACCAAGCTGTTTTTGGCGATCGATTACTTGGCGACATTTCTCTGTTACTTGCAAAATTTTATAATATACAGGGTGGTTATAATTAAAGTTCTACTTTGAAATGGTCATAAAAGAAAAACTACTGGGCCAAATGTTATCAAGCTTGGTAAACGTGTAAAGGAGATCACAGGTATTTTATTTTTCGCCTGAAAAATTTAGAAAACTAACCACCAGGGTTGGCTGTATGCAATACTGTTAAACGAAATAAGACATCGGTTTAAAATGTGTTTAATCGTTTCTGAAATGTCTTTCAAAGCATGTTCAATGTGGCGTTCTTCATTTTCCGAAGGCAAGTTAAATCGTTTTACTATATTCTTAACAGCAGCTCTTAGCATATCAGGAGGAGTGTTACGGACATGTCGGTGTATCGCATCTTTCAATTCCACCAAATTGTTTAGATTATCACCATAAATAGCGCTTTTGAGATAACCCCATAGCGAATCGTCACAGGGGTTGAGGTCCGGTGACCGGAATGGCCAAGAAGTGGGGAAGTGTTCACCTATAATCCGTTCATTCGTGTAATGTTGCCTAAGTAACTGTGTGACACGTATACCAATGTGCGGTGGTATATGTGTCACATAGTTACTTAGGCACATAAAAATCCTACATAAAAGGGTCCTACATTAAAGTCTATCACGAAACGTCTTAACATTGACACTAAGCGAGCTGCAGTCACAGTGCATGTAACAGGTCCAGTTGTCGACTGTTCTTCAAGTAAAAATTGTTCAATTATGAAATTACAGTCATAGCGCACCAAACAGTGACTTTAGGAGAATGCAATGGAACTAGGTAGATAACACGAGGGATTTGTTTGGCCCAAATCCTGCAGTTATGGGTGTTGACATCGCCATTTAGGTAAAAATGGGCCTCATTTGTCTACAGAATGTTTCATGGCCAATGTTTGTCCATTTCGATCCGTGCAAGGAATTCCCAAAGCAAAAGATTTAGGTCAACGTTTCCTTAACACAACGTTTTACCGACCGTTAGCGTTTCAACAGCATACACACGTCCGACCGGCCGCAGATTCTCCCTGTCTTGAAAATTTTTACCGTCTTCTTAAAGTAGACATATTTCTAAGCATACCTGCAAAAAATTACAGTTCGTTATTCAAAATTTTCGAAGATATACGGGAATTTATATATTGGCGAGTTTTGAAATTTGGCATATTTGTTGAAAGATAACGCCAATCCCATCATCTTGAAAATCAAAAACTGTTTACAAACTTTGAACGGTTATTTAGATGTAAAACTGCACTGAATCAAAACTCATGTGGGGCATATTGGAAACGAGAGTGCCGACTGTCTGGCCAAGGAGGCAGTCTCCGATATGGATATCCCCTTTATTGAAATTTCAGGATCTAAACAGATGGCCATCACACGCATGAAGAAATTTTACATTGACAAATGGAAAAATCCTATGAGAAAATTCATCAAAAAATAAAGGATACATGAAAATTATCAGAATTTCTAACAAAATGGCTATTTTTAACAATATTGATTTAAACCAAATTCTTACTGGCCACGGGAGATTTTCCTATTATTTTAAGAGATTCAACTTGCAAGATAAGGAATTTTGTGTTTCTTGTAATGCTACTGGAGACGCGAAACATTTTGTGGAGGCGTGTCATATTTTCACCGATCAGAGTAAGCTTTACAAAATTGATAATGCTTATATATAGTGATAATGTTGATATCAAGGCTTTTATATCTTTTTCACAAGATGTCCTTAAATTTATTAATGCAAATCAAGGTATAATTGGAATTCTGAGCTGATGTTGTCCTTTGTGTTAATTTTTGTTTGCATGTTCGTGAGTGCTTGTTATATGTTTTTCCCTATTTTATATTTGAGTATTATTGTAGTATTATTTGTATTTGAGTATTATTTATATTTAAGTATTTTATTTTATGTTTGAGTATTATTTGTATCTTATTTATATTTTGCATGGTGGTTATTTATTTTGTATCTGATGTTCTTTTGGAGTCGTGCTTTTTTTTTTTTTTTGACCATGAGGCCACTTAATGGCCAGGTGGATCTGAGTTTACCCCCAATATATTACAGATCGTCTAAATAAACTCTCCAGTACCATTTTTTTCGCTCATCGTGAACGGTAAATTTTTTGAATTTACGGTGTGAAAACGTGGGAGTTTACGAAGCAACGCATTTAACGCAAGTGAGCACACTACCGCAATACTAATAATGTAAAATGTACCGCAATGTAATTTTATGCCAGTATTAAAAGAAACAATCAATCTGATAAGAAATGGCTGCGATTTGTTTTGAAAATGAGGCGTAAAAGGTTACCAGAGAGGATATTCGGTTTGGCATCAGTTGTACCAGTATTGGCATCTTTATCTCCTGCGCCGGCAAAACGGAAAAGTACCCTAACAGGCTAAAGGTCGGTAGGCGTTGTCAAAAAACAGCCAATTAATAGGGGATCGGTCAGCAGGCGTCGGCGATGAAAAGCTGATTAATACGTGATCGGTCGGTAAAGTGTTAAGGGTATACAACATGTTAAACTCGTGAAACAAAAGTATGAGTTAGATTCCGACCTATTTTTCGTTTAACAATATTTCATACAGCGCCATTTCCCCCTGGTGGTGAGTTTTTGAACTTTTTTTCCGCGGGAAGTAAATTCCCGCAACCTCCTTTACACGATTACCAATTATGATGATATTTGGTCCAGTAGTTTTCTTTTTATGACCATTTCAAAGTGGAACTTTAACTGTATTTTGGGTACTATTCCGTTTTGAGGATCGTAAAAAAATTGCAGCGAAAATGTATGCGCCAAAGCGCCAAATCTAGCAAACGCGCCCATTTAAACAGCGCGCCAAATCTAGCGTACTCGCTGATTTCAGAGAGCGTAAGTTTATATTGTTTTATATTTAAGACGCCACTGAAATACTAATTTAATTTTTAAATCCTTTTTTGATATCCTATGGATTTAACAATTTGGGAATTGCCCATGACGAAAAGTCTGCAATAGAATTTTGGGTAAAGTGCAGAATCACCCACTGCTTGACGCGTTTTTAAGAATTGCACATATTCGGTATCCATCTACACATCGACCTATTTTCACTTTAAAAAAATCCCAGAATTGCACAAAAATGGCACTGCGCACACCCTTGACTTTATCTATGTACACATCGACCTATTTTCACTTAAAAAGTAAAAGAAAATTGACAAAATCCAATTTTTTTACGCTTGTAAAAAGCGGCAAACGAATAAGTGGGCTATTCTGCACTTTACCGAGAATTTTTTCAAAGAAAAGGCATCATTTATTATAGAAAATTATATTTGAACTACCAACGAGATGAAATTATGCTTTAGCGATAACTCGGTAGCGAAATAGCGATGCAGACATTCATTCAGTTATGTTTAGCAATTTTTATATAAATTATAATGATGAGCTGAAATAGTTATTTACTCTTATGCTTCCATTGAGTCATGTTTAGCTTTCTTTATATAAATTATAATAATAAAAATGTATTATATGAAATTAACATTTCATCTAAATGAAAACATCAATCTTAGTTATTTACTATGATACTTCCTTTTTTGCGTTAGGGTTGCCGGAATTATTTTTGGCAGCACTGGCATCAACAATAGTTAGGCGATTTTTTAGGGCCCTCAGAACCGAATAGTACCGTATTTTGAATATATCTGGCGACTTTACGTCAGTTTATAAAAATTACTCTACAATATTTTGACCATAAGCTGAATTTTTGATCACGTGAATTGTTGATTACGATTTTTCGCGTTTTCGTGTACAAAGGAGCTGGACTTAGTAAGAATATTCGAATAGATAATAGTAACCTCGATCACAACAAGCGGCGGCTACTGTATTTACAGATTTGTTTGCTAAACATTTTCTGATTCTGTATTGTAATGCTTATAACCGTTTCGTTCTTACAGCATTCAAGTAGTGTTCGGAATCCAGGATCAGGCTTTAACATCTTTTACTTTGGATGAAGCGAGTTTTTCACTGGAAACTACGAACGATAAGACCTTAGAACTGAAGTGCTCGTGCCAGGCAGCCACACTTATTGACATTCGAGCACCGAAGAACTCTTCCCTCAGAAAGTACGTAGGATTTTTTTTTTGTTTGTTTGTTAAATAATCAATCATTGTGATTTGACTCTACTTAATTACGTTGGATTTTGTGAAATTCTTTGACTTGTTTTTTGGCTTTGAGTAGCGACGATTTGACTACACAAAGACAAAATAATAAGTCAAAGAACTGCACAAACGCGGCATCCATGCAAACATCGACCTATTTTCACTTAAATAAACGTCGGAGAATTGCACAGACTTACATTGCGCACTCCCTTGACTTTATCCATGTGCACATCGACCTATTTTCACTTTAAAAAAACATCAGAGAATTGCACAAACTTGGAATTGCGCACTCCCTTGACTTTGTTCATGTACACATCGATCTATTTTCACTTAAACAGTCAAAGGAGCACCCAATTCTGCAGTACAGCCAAACAAGAAATACATAATCTCAATAAACTACATTTAAAATAAAACAATAAAATAACATAGAAAAAAGGAAATTCATCTTATGCATCTAAGCGCTGCACAAAGCAAATACCCAGTTACCTTATTTATAAATTACTGCATCTTCAGTCTGTGGCACACAAAATTCCTTAACAGCATCCAAAAACTTCCTAACATTATCTGAACTAGAACACTTTTACCGGCATCGCCACATAAACTCACAAAAATGAGAGTCAAAAATATCCTCCGTAGTACCGATACTTTCCGATGTTAGACCATACGCATTTCCTTCCTATAAACAGGACGCGTAATGGCAAACCGCACATTGAGTTGATCAATGTTAACGAATTTCGCTTAGTGCGCATGCTCAGTGGCATACCATTCTCGTGGGAGGAAATGAATACTGGCGCCTAAGCATAAGCAACCCTGCACAAAACTGTTCGTCATGTAGATCTTATCGCACTGTTTACAATACTATGAAAATTTGTTTCTGTTTATTGCACTTGTTTATTGCTTCTGTTTAATTTCAGTTTGGTTTTTTTGTGCATTTAATATCAACTAACATTACATTTAATATCAGTTGTTAATAATAATTTCTTTGACTTCAATTCAGTGATTTAATCAGGATTTATTCCTTAATTTCTTAAAATATCCTGAAAAGTATAATCAATAAATATTCAGCTAATATATTTTGCAATGTTTTCTGTTTTATAATTTTAAACAAAAATTTGTTAATTTACAATCGGTATTTACACTCTAAGTAATGAAACAACTAACAAATTTTAAAAACCCGAAATGTTTACACCCAGATAACAGAAAATCAACAATATACCGTATTTATCCTCTTTTGAAATTGCGTCAAATTCCCCTCTGGGCATGCACAGAGTGCGAAATTCGTTTAACATTGATCAACTAAATGTGCAGTTTGCCATTACGCAAGCAAGACATTTATAATGGCTACTAAATAAACCTTCATTTACACTTCAGTCAATTAATGCTCTTTTCTCTTTCGTTTCAAATCGTACAGATATTCAAATTAATCTTATAACATTCAGCCATTCTACCGTCTAAACCACAGAACAAGCAATGTACTTCCTAACCAACACACGCCACAAGCACTTACAAATCTTTTCCCATAATTCAAAGTTTACCGCCATCACGCAACCGATTACGTCATAATAGGGTTTCCATAAAATTCAACTACTCAGGTTACCATAAATAAAACAACTTCGCGATAATACAAACGGCACCCTTCAATCTACTCTAATCCGAATTTTTTAATAATCAATGTCATCTTGATTGTGCTGAACAGTTGTCCGTCCATGCGTCGCCACAGACCCCCAATCGATCCCTTGACCATCACTGACCATCATTCATTACAATTCCATTGAGCCCGAGGGGTCAGTACCGATCTCGTTGGGAACTCCCGTTTTAAGTTCTAAGCTTCCAGTCCTGAGCTAATGAATCATTTTTCGTTTTCAGGATATTCCAGTCCTACAGCGGTGACTTTGGCGGCACGACGGGTGTGGCAGGCATCAGCCTCAGCATGCCACCGATGGTGGATCTTACTTATCGACGCACCGCTGGCGGCGATTCGTCAGGTTTGAATCTTTATTACTCTAATTTAGAAGTTCGCTGTTGTTTTATAATTTGAACTGCTCACAGTAATGGCAAGAGTACCGACAGCAGGAATCGGCGGTGATTTCCTGCAACAGTCGGTGACTCTTTACTGTTTACTAAAAAGTAACATTAAAGATTAAAAATTAGTTATTCATATTTTAAAATCTTTTCTGCTTTGTACGCTTACCATTCGATATGGCTTCTTTACAGTGAATGCAGTAGTGGAGAAGATTCGCCTCAATGTGTCAGTTTCGTACCTACTGGGTGTCCTAAAATTTGTGTCAGACGCTCTTCCCGGCAGCCGATTGCCCAGTTCTAGTGCCTTCTTAGATGGAGAGGACGGCCGCAGACGACTTCCATCCGATTGTACTAGTGGATACCACTCCACCATCAGCTCCGACGAAATGAGAGCAATGTCCGTGTCCGTTGTCTTCCGCAAACCTGAAGTCGTCCTCTTTGCCCAGCCGGACACCCCGGATACAGCTGTGCTAGTTCTTAAGGTAAGGATATCATTTCGGAATAAGGTTGCTTGTTTAATGTTAAAATGTATGCAAACTTTTCTTGTAACAGCATGTATACGGGTGTACCGTAAATGTTGCGCAAAACTTTTAGGGTAGGGCACTTTTTAAGGTAGGGCTCATCATCAGGATTCAGAATTGCATAGGAACCAGGAAATGTCAGGGATAAGTGAGTGAGTGAGTGCACCGCTGCGATGACTTCCGACCACGGACATTGAACCAAACATAATTATATACCACTAGCAGCTTCGCTGCCAGCCTTCGTCTGGCTTTTAAATGTAACGGAAAAATGGCTGAAGAGAACACCAAACGTTAAATTTAAAAACTGCATAGAATTTTACTCTGCAGAACAACTTCATAAAAATGTTATTACGTATAACAATATTACAATGAAATAAGCAATATCCCTTAATACAAATATTAATTATCCTAATAAATAAATTAACCAACTTCCCTTTGCAAAATCTTAAGAATTCAAATGGTATAAAGGAGGTTAAAGACTTTGTTTCCTAAAAAAATCATTCAAAACTTTTCAATATCTTAAAGACAGTGAAATGAGCAATAAATAACATAAAAGAATACAAAAAACAAAAAATTCTGAAAAGCAAAGTATAATTAATGATATTTTATTTTATATTTTCAAGACAAAAATTGGCAATAAAATAAGATGTATCTCTTAATACGAATATTAATTATCCTAATAAAAAAAAATCTGATGTGTACACCACATGACTTCCTTGTACGGAATATTAAATTATACGCATTTGTTTCTTGCATTTCTTTTAAACTTATTGGATTTAATTAAATCTACTTCGCCGACAGCGCATAAACCACAATAGAATAAAAGCATTCTTTAAAATTCACTCTATTTGTTTAACACAGCGACACTCTGGCACTAGGTTCACTTAACAGTTTTATATTTCCTTCATATTATAACTCAGAATGCAAAAAATGTATATCATTTAAGGAATTATCTAATCGTTGCTACATGTTCTTTTCAAATACTATAATAAAGCTAGAACGATGTAAAAAAGAAATTAAGCAAACAAAACAAAAATGAAAAGTTTTTCACAGACGATTGAGTATTTCTCATTCAATTAATTCAGTTTCACTTCGCGACAAGGCAAAAATACATAAAAGCTCAAAATCTATATTAAAAATACTAATTAAAAATAAATTATAATTAAAATTAAGTAAATCTTAAACACTTATTTCCTCGAAAAAATTCCAGAAAGGATTAAGCATGATTTAATTCGCAATAATAAATGAAGGCGTTATTTTTTGTTGCGAAGCTTAGTCTCTCTAGATTGGCAACAAATCTACAATTCTGCTGTTTCAAATGTAAACAAATATGTCCGCCATGTTATTTAAAAAACTTAACCGCACTTAAACAGCTTTTAAAATTGTTGATAATTGTACAATATTGCTTCCAGATTACGAAAGGCATAAAAACCTTAACCGGAAGATAAGAAACAACATAATTCAATCATTTTTAAAGAAAAAATGTGCAATTTACAAACATATAAGAGTAAAGAAACTGAGATTACTGTGCAGAGTAACAGAGTGGATATATATATAATTACAGTATTTATATACGTTTGGTGCGGCCGATTGCAACCAAAATACGAGGTGCACATCTACATGTTATAGCAGTCCTATATACAAAATTTCAACGTTCTGAGGCTACTCGTTTTTGAGTTATGCGAAATACGTATGTGCGCACGCACGTACGTACATACGTTCGTACAGACGCCATGAAAAATTCTCTTCAGAATTAATTTTAAAGCAGTTTTATAATTTTTTTGGAGGAAACGAGTGTTTTATTGTCCTTACGTACAGATATCACGCAAAAACATCGTTAATAGCGGTCAAAATGGATATTTTCGTTGAAATATGCTGCCTGAAACTTTTCGCGATTACAATACTTCCTTTTTACTTCGTACAAGAAAGTAATTAACCAACTTTCCGTTGAAGAAAAAAAATCATGCAAAACTTTTCAGTATCTTACAAATAAAGAAATAAGCAAAAAAATAACATGAAAGCAACTCAAAAAACATAAAATTCCGCGCAGAATTTTACTCTGCAGAACAACTTTATCAAAAAAATCAATAAAAATGTATATATATATATATATATATATATATATAATGACAATGAAATATGCCGATCTCTTAAAAAAACAGTGACATAAGAAATACGATGAAAAATTGTTGCCAAACCCAAATTTCTAAAAGAATGAAACTATTCAAAATGATGCGATTTCATCAAAAATCTATCAACAACAATAAGACAGGAAAATTGTTGCCAAAATCACATTTTTAAAGATGTGAGAAGTGTACTCGAAAGCTTCAATTAAAAAAAAAATTTAAATACATATTATCATTTTTCCAAAATTCTTTTTGTAAAAGCAGTCGCAAGGATGAAAGTTTAACGTGACCAAAAATCAAAGAAAAATAAACTGTACCTTAATAAAAATAAACTTTTTTAGAAAATATCCCGTTGAAAAGGGGTTACGCTCCCTTTGTTAAATAAATCCGTATTGAATCGATTTATTGAAACACGAAATTTATTTTAAGTTCGTAAAATAGCGAAGTGCCTACGTTTCATGACGATGTGAAAATGGAGTGTGTAGAGTAAAATCTCGCTTTCCTATAGCCCATTATGTCTCAAAATGACGCGATTTCGTCACAAAACATAAAATATAAAAAAAAAATCGAATTCGAATTTCGAAAAAATCACTTCGAGGTGCACTGGCTCTTGTTTAGTTGCATCTATGTACCAAATTTCGTAGCCGTGGGTCTATTAGCTTACGCGCAGAGCAAACGAAAGACAACACACACACGCAGACAGACTCTTTCTTTTATTATATGTAGAGATTACGGCGGGGAAGTCTTTAAAGTAACAAGGTTGAATATTACATACTAATAACAGTTTTTACATATTGATAACTGCAGACACTAAGCGTTATTCTGGTTATCTGCTTTAAGTTCTGAACATTTGAAACATAATATTGTTCACGGTTGTTTCTACTTAGGCAGTGTCTTGAGATTTTCTCTATTTCATCAAGGGCTACTCTGTGTTTGAGTGTGTAGACGTCCACATTGCCCAGGCACAGTCCGGCTGTTTCTTCAAGTGCCAGGTTCTTATATGTACACAATGGAAGTAATAATGGTCCGTGTCGCCTTCCTCTCCGCATTCGCAGAAAGGAGTATTCCTAAGTCTAAATCTGCTCAGGTATACTCTGAATGGTCCATGACCTGTCAAGAACTGTGTTAAGCTAGCACAGTGGGTCTTTATTTCCATGTTAAATTTTGGCAGTAAGCGAAATGTCCTTCATCCTACCTCTGCCTCTGTCCATCTACTTTGTCAAATTTGTAGCAGACGTGTCAAAGTTGTTCTCTTATAATGAGACCAAGGAAGTTTAGTTGGTCTTTTTAATATATCCGTGCAGTTGGCTGTCAGAGATTAGTGGTAGCAGAGGGAAAAGATGGGAAAAGAAACAAGAGTGATTAAATTTGAAACATTTATTGGACACGAATACAAATGGTGTACGACGGCTTCAATGTTACAAAAGATGCTCAAAGTTTGCACCATCAGACGCCAAACATGCCTGACATCGACGGACCATTTGAATGCAGCGAATTATTTAATCTTTCTGGAGAAGGTTCTTATCGACTTGCTTGAAAAGGATGTTCCAACAAGTGTGAGGTGCAACATGTGATTCCGACATGATGGGGACCCTGCTCATTTTGGACTGGATATTCGTATCCATTTGAACAGATCATCCTCGCATCGATGTGGATTGGGCGTGGTGGATGAATTCCGTGGCCCCCCACGCTCACCGGATTTATCGAGCCTTGATTTCTTTTTGTGGGAAGCCATCAAAAATGACCTGTATCCGATCCTGTTGTGTCTGAAATGGATCTCGTGACAAAACTCGCCTGCGCTTGAGCATGCCCGGCAATCAATGGTTCGTCGTTGTCAGGCATGTTTGGCGTCTGATGGTGCAGACTTCGAGTACCTGTTGTAACATTCCATTTGTATTCATGTTGAATAAATGTTTCAAACGAATCACTGTTTCTTTTCCATCTTCTACCTCTGCTACCATTTACCCCTGACATTTCCGGGCATGGGTTCCTATGCAATTTTTGTATTTTCGATGTGCAGTTAGGTAGTTGGTTGTTCAGCAGCTTTCGATTGCCGAGTTGAAAGACGAGAAGACGACGCTGATACAAATGAAGCTGAAGATTTCTCAATCTTTATTTTCACGCATATCAAATCATCTTAGTAGACATTTATCCAATCATAATGAAATACGATAATTTCTATGTTCACTGACCCCCCAAAAAGTTGTATATCCCCCCGTTCTACGGGGCCGATTGACGAAATTCAACTTGCGTTTTTCATGTCTTGAAAGCGCTACTTAGTATATGTATTGCGCTGTTCTGATATAGGTATTTTGACACAAAATCGGACTTTTTCTGAAACGACATATCAATTGTTTTCCATATTTCAATTCTACGATTCAAAATATGCCAACTGTCAAGTTTTGTAAAAATTGCACGAGTAGTTTTTAAAAAATTAGCTCTCAGAATTTTAGCCCCTCAAAGTTTATTGAGTTTGGTATATATTTATAAATATGTCTTTTTTATTAAACTTCTTTGATTCTTCCTTTCATATTTCGAAATTTAGGTTCATTCCAAATACAACTCGCCCATTTTTTATGATTTATTTTTAAAACTTGTAGTTTTGAATATTTTTTTTTTAATTTTTCGAGAAAAAATTTCGAATAAAGTATAAAATTTTTACCATGCTCTTAAAGCAGATGTATTTCTAAACGTACCTGCAAAAAAATTGGAGTTTTTATTCAAAATTTCTGAAGATATACGTGAATTTATGTATTGGCGATAATAACTTCAAATGCGTTGATGTTATAATTAAATTAGTTGCTGTTACATATTTGTTGAAAGCGATAATAACAT